CACACACACAAGCAGTAAACACACACACACGCACACACACACACACACACACACACACACACACACACACACGCAGCATACCCTCTCAGGCAGCACACATGATGGGACAGCATGCCAACCGCAATCCGTTTGGGAAAGTATCCCAGTGAAAATCAAACCATTGCTATAATTCCTCTTATAACATCCTGGCTACACACACACACATTTGCAGAGAGTGGAGAAGACTACAGTTTATGATCTTTGGAAGGAGAATACAAAAATGAGAGAGGCGGAAAAATGTTGTGCTTTATTTTAACAGAACCGAATACAACTTTATCAGGATAAAAGCACTGGGAGATCATGTGAGCAGGGGATTGTGGGTAATGGAGTCTGTTACCAGGATGGAAGCCCTGCGGAATTCAGTCTCACTATTTTCTCTCAAACTCATTGCTGAATGTAAAGAAAACAGTGGAGATTTACACACAGCAGCAGAGGAAAACAGAAGTCACCTGCCAGAAACAATCTCCAAGCCTTTTCCATCGTTTAATGCAGGGTTCTATTCCTCCACACAATTTGGACCCCAAAAGCTATTTTACTGGCTGAAAGAATCTATTCAGTATCTCATTAGAAAGACTACAGGACTGTTTTATGTATGTTACCATTCGAAAGTTTGGGACCAGCAAGATTTTTTTTATTCAGCAAGGACACATTAAATTGACCAAAAGTGACAGTAAAGACATAAATGAAAAAAAAAAAAATATCGGTTTCCACAAAAATATTAAACAGTAGGCTACAGCTTTTTTCAGCATTGATAATAGTAAGAAATTTTTCATGAACACCAAATCAGCATATTAGAATGATTTGTGAAGGACCATGTGACACTAGATACTGGAGAAATGGCTGTTAAAAATCCAGCTTTGTCATCACAGGAATAAATTACATTTTAAAATATAATCGAATAGAAATTATTTTAATTAAAATAATATTTCAAAATATTGCTGTTTTTACTGTATTTTTGTCAAATAAATGCAGCCTTGGTGAGCATTATTTATACTTCATATTGAAAAAAATAGGCAGCATAGAATGTATAAAGTATTCCATTTCAAACAAATCCAAACATTCACACCATTAACACGATCCTGTGAGCCGAATGGATCAGTCAAAAGTTAACCAATCACATTCTGCCCTTGAAGCGAGCCACTCTTTAACAGCTTCAAAATTATATAAACACACTAGAAGACACTATAATGCCAGTATTCTAATGGAGTGTAGCATTTAAAAGTGTTTCAAAATAAAATGACCTGGGTTCACTTTGGCTGGGTCTTTCCAATCCCATGAAGTGGCTTTGAAGTGTGAATAAAAGTGCGTTTGACTGAGTCTGTGATAAATGGGCTTACAGTTCAAAGCTAAGAGTATGTGTACCTATGGGTGTCAATGACGAATGTACATACAAAATTCTGCCTAAAAATGAAGTTGGGTCATTTCCAAACACTCATTCACACGCTACACTACACAACAACAGATAACAGCAGCCTAAGAGACTATTTGTTTGGACACACATCACCAGAAGAATCTCGCAGAAACAGTGAACTAGCCTGAACCCTTTCTGGATTTTCATGCTTTCAGATTTTCTGCAAAGATGCTTGCTAAGACGAACTACAACAACATTAGAGCTGGTGATTGACCGGTATATCACTAAGGCCGATATTATTGACAAATATTTGACATTTTTAATTATCGTTTGGCTGAGGACTGTCGGAAGCGGGACTTTTATTTTGACAGCACATGAGCGCAGACACACAGGAGCTGCCTTCATTAGTTTCGTCTTATTACTTAAATTAATTTAGTCTTAAATTAACAGATAATTGAAAGGAAAACACTATAATATTTACATATATTATATTTATATACATATAATATTTAAACTGTCAGCATTCGGCAAATATGCATTTTAAACAAGAAATATGCAGTTTAGTAAATACACATTCAAGTCTTTGAATATCTAATAAACATTTAATGCTACAAACATAACAAACCGTCTATATAACAGATTTATTTTAGCAGGTCAAAACTGATGCATTTTTAAATGATTTCTTTTTTTTTTTTTTTTACAAAATATTACATAAAATAAATATACATTGATGAAAAATGTATGCATTTTTAAATGATTTATTTTTGTTTGTTTTTTTGTTTTTTTTTTACAAAATATTACATAAAATAAATATAAATTCCACTGCAGTAATTGTTAGTTACTATCCAAACACTCAGTCACACACTATGACAACCATTCATTAGAAGGCTTATTTTATTTATTTGTTTTTCCATCAACTTCTTCATTTTTCAAACAAAGTAATGAGAGTTTTTTAAACACTAATAAAATTACAGAATCAACAAGTAGCCGTGTAAAGCATAAACTGTCTATTTCACAGTTTGTTTGTTTTTTTCAAATTATTAAGAAGTTCAAATAATTTTTTTATACATTTTATTATAGGGTTCATTTTCAAAATATTTTTTTTTTCTGTTTTTGGTAAATATTTTGTACTATCTTTAAATTAAATAGTGTGACATTATTTGGGCCTACATCGGCTTTATTCCAGGCACACTGCTATCAATAAAATCAGCATCTGCCAAATAAAATCGGACAAATAAAAAAATCTGGTCAACCACTACTCACAGCATACAGTTTTAACTATGCATGCTGACACCCACCGTAGCAGTTAGCCTGGGCCCATGGAGCTGAGCGTAGAGTATGGCCTCCTCGACTTGACCTCTGATCCCCAGCAAAGCTAGTTCCAGGTTGTGCGCTCCGGCGATGATGTGCGTGAGATCCTGCAGTACGGTGACATACTGTCTCCAGGGGTTGTGGATCTCTGAGAGGCTGGCCAGGCACCCTCGCATGACGTTGAGGCAGTAGCCGCTGCACGCCCGGATCAGGGTGAGTCCACGGCAATGAGAACAGTAATGCATGCGCACCAGAGCCCGAGTACATTCCTTGGACAACTCCGCCGTCTCTGTAATGTTCATTACTTCCAACCCCACGCCGAGCGTCAGGCTGAGCACCCGGCCTGCCCTCAACGCGCTCGCAAGCGTATCTGCCATCGCCTTTGGGTGCGGCCCAAAGGGGTTAACATCCTGCCTTGTCATGCGGAGACAGTCGCCAAGCTGGTTTCCATTATAAGAGTCCTCTCCAATGCTCCCAGCAATGCCGGGATTGACAATATGAGTGTGGACTAACGGGAAGAGACTGTCGAAGAAACAGTGAACGGCAGCTTCAACAGAGACATTGCCGGTGCCCTGGAGGAAGCGAGAAAGGTCCGTGAAGAGGCAGGCGATGTGAGGGGAGATGGATGATATGAGGGAAGAGAATGTGGTCTCGAACAGAGAGGTCAGGTGATTCTGAGAGAAGGTGATTAGAGACTGGAACATATCTGAAAGAGAAGTTGAGATTTAAATGAATGTGTATATAAGAAAAATCAGTAGTTTTAAAATAAAACGACACACACACACACACACACACAGTCTTAATAAAAAACACAAGCACTGAGAAAATGAATTTTGTTATTTGTCTAACAGCTTTGATTGTGTGCAATTTCTAAGCTACTAGCCATTGGTCAGACAAACAGAAAGCTCTGCCCCAAAGCCATGCTATTGGTTGAGCTTTTCATTTTTGGTTTAAATTTGCAATGCAACTAAAGTAGCGACAGATCTTTTCTTCTGTATTGTGACACACCCGAGTGTAATGGGTTATCAATGTAGGGCCAGAGACCTGGTTCTACGCATCAGTTGTTAATTGGATTTTGAGATGCTGGCATAGCGCTTAAAAGTGGAGGCAGATGAATGTGATGTTGCCAAGGGCAGGGTTTAAGCAATTAAATAATTGGAGAAGTCCTGCATATGTCACTTTGATTAAATGTTATGAGGTTAAAAAAAATGTTTTAATTAAGTGTATGCACAAATGAATTGCTCACAATAAGATATATAACATGCATTTAGGAAAAAGAAAGGGTGAATTTTAATTTCATGCCAACTTTAAGCATCACAAGCGATCCCCCACAAATAACTACAAAGATAATCTATCATTTTCCCCATTTTGTCTGCTGGGCTTGACTTTAATAAAGTTATAGAAAACGAGACAACCATAGAAGCCTGAATAAATTATTTTTAATAATGTCTCATACTCAAGTGGAAGACCTCTGTTATAAACGTCAAAAAACATGGATGCCTGTACACTGAAAACAAATGACAGGATGTTCAAATCAGAATGTCCAAAACTAAATTAATTTTTTTCATATAATGAAAGTGAATGATGACCATGGCTGTCAAGCAAGATTTCATTAAATAATGACTTCAATTTTATTCTGTTACTCAAATCATATCTTCAGAAGACTTGGAATATAGCACACAAGCTGTATGGACTACTTTTATATGCCTTTTTTTTGCCATTTCTCTTTCAATATATGAAAAAGAGCTGTATGAACATCCTGATGACTTTCTCTTCCACAAAGTCCATAAAGTCCATTTTCTATAAAAGAAAGTTTAAAACTACATGAGGGTGATTAAACAACAATTTTCATTTTTAGCAGAACTATTTCTTTAAAACCAGTCACAAAACTTCTGTTTTACAGGAAGGACAGGTAAAAGAGAGAAAAGGAGGCAGTGCTGTATGTCTGTGGCTCTGTTCTGTGATTTTTTTTGTCACACTTTCTCTCTCTCTCTCACACACACACACACACACACACACACACACACACACACACACACGTGCCTAAACTTGTGTTTGGTCAGTGGTTTGTTAATGCAGGGCAGCCTGTCTATTCAGCTGCGCTGTAGTCGAGCATGACCACACACACACACACACACAGGCTGTACCCAGGGTGCCGTTCTCTCTAAGGCCACTGATGTCAGACTGAAGGCATGTTAGGGGATGGAGGAACAGCGGCAACTGGACTGAAACTGAGACCGGTCAACACACATACATACACACACACACACACACACACACAGAAGCAGAGCTTTCCATTTCACTCCATAAGCTGCGGAGGCTTCCATCAATGCCGTCACAACGGACCAGGACAACTAAACTCCCCCCAATCACACAAACAGCTGTGTCTGAACATGCTGCCCCCATAAGGGGGCGTTCACACAGGATGTGTTTTTGCATTCTGTCTGCACTGCTTTTTAATTTTTGGTCTATGTACATGTGCGTCATACATACCTCTTTATTGTTGCATCATGCTTTGCAGTTTTAGAATCTTGTGGCATGAGTTTTACATTATGAAGATGCCATGGTAAAAAACTTTGTTACACATCGACTTCAGTTTTAAAACAATGGGCCAATCAGAAGAACCCAGGGGCCTGACAAACATTTTAAGCATTTAACATGCGTTTAAAATAACAACATTACAGGTAAAATGGGTCTCATTCCTTAACCATGTAAACACACACATACACAGACAGAGAGAGAAAACTGAAATATTCTTAATTTAAATTACCTTTATCGTTTTCTTATATTAATATATTTCAAAATGTAATTTATTACTGATGGCAAAGCTACATTTTCAATAGCCATTACTCCAGGTTTCAGTGTCACATCCTACAGAAATAATTATATTATGCTGATTTGGAATATCAATAAATCAAGAAACATTTCTTTTTATTGTCAATGTTGAAAACATATAATTTTTGTAAAAGTCTTTACAGCTACTTTTTAATGCATCTTTGCTAAAAAAAAAAAAAAAAGAAAGAAAAATGTTGTTACTGTACAACAGTAATGTGTAAAATGTATGAAAAAGATTACATTATAGTGCTGTTAAGTGTTCAGTGGTTCATGATGCAACTGGTTTGATAAAACTGTGGAAGAACCACACTGTCTTGACCATAATAACATTAATTATTTTTCTCACCAGAACATTACAGAGAGGTCAATGATAGGGAGAAGAAACATGGAAAGGAATTTGTGGAATGTCATGGATTGAAACTCATTTCCCCATATGAGCACAACAGCCGTGTGTGTCAAAGCACATGCAAACCACAAGTATTGTAGAAGGAGAAAGTAAGGAATGGAAAGGCCACTTGCCATGCCCCGCTGTGTGTTCGTGTCTGCATATGAACCGTAAATGTGCGTGTGTGTGTGTGTGTGTGTGTGTGTCATAGGCGTAATTTGCAGGTGGGACGGGTGGGACATGTCCCCACCACTTTTTGCCAGGGTCGATATTGTCCCTACCACTTTTTGAAAGTAATTGAAAAATATATTGCGGAAGGTATGTATTAAAGGGAAAACAAGATCAACAAATCATTCTTCATAATCTATTTAGGGTGATAAAAAAAAAAACAACAACAACATTTGACTCCTTATGCATGCATAACTCGTAATAACGACGTGATTTGCAGCTATCGCTTTTTTCGTAATGTCATTAGGCTAAAGCATTTTATTTTAAAAATGGAGAGCTTCCTTGTGCTAAGTAGGCCTGCCCTCTATTAAAGATTTTTCTAGTCAACTAGTCGCACGTTATATTAAATT